TCCCTGAAATAACAGAGGTTGAGGTGTAGTGAGCCATAGATCACGATAAAGTGAGCAGATCTGTGTAACTGGAGGAACTTTGTAAAGAGAGAGAAGGCAACCATTGATTCCTGTAGCTTATTAACCTCTTGAGGGCCACGTGCTGTATCCAGACATTATCCATACTCTGATAGTGTGTGTATATATGATGTGGATATCAAACGACCCAAGATAAAATGCAACCACTATTGCTGCCTGCTGAAACGTGTCAGGAGATATGTTGTGAGCTCAAGCTGCCTGTGTTTTTGAAGGCAGAAGTTAAGCTTTGTGAGGAATGCTTGTATGGACACTTCTGTAAATGTGTATGTAATTCATACAATATGTGTATGTGTGTGTCATTTATACAATAACTTTATGATTCATACAATAACTTTATTGAGTATACAAAGGCATTCTCCAACCACTGTGCTAGGCAGTAACTCCACAGGATGTGAGAATGTACATCTTTTGAGAGACACAGATGATGCTTCTTTTAGGTAAACAAAATATTCAGAAGTTGCCACGATGATTAAAGATAAACACAGTTCTCAGGGGAAGTTTTAAGAGTATAAACAAAAGCCATTCTTGTTTGTCTCCCATGTTAATTTCTAAATTGCGTGTAATTACTAAATCCTTCCCATGTGAGCCTTGCAGCTTGTGTTCTTTAACTAGATACTGTAGCATATGTTTTAGCACCCATAGTTCCATGATTGAAGTTCAGTGATATCTGCAATGATATTTTTGATTCATTTACTTGTAATTCCATTTAACCTAATTAGAAATAGCTAGCAATAACTCTTTATGTTTCAAAGTCATTATATGACTTACATCAGGTGTCATCATTGAAATTTTATGTTTACCATTGAAATTGAAATTTACAGTTGTCAATAAAGAAGCAGTATGTTCAGCATATAAGTCATTTACATAAACCTTTAATTTCATCTTAAAACTGCATCTTGATTTTGTGTCAGCTGGTGGATCCATATGTGAGGAATGGCTCTTCACTGCTGGGAGATTCGGGTGCGACTGCTGAGCTCAGGATAGAATTTGAGCATTCACTCTCAGCTGCTTCACCTTTTGCTCTTCTTTTTTAACCATCCTTTTTCTTTCAACTTCATATGGATGTGCATTTCTTTTTTGTTTGACACTAATCTTGGGAGAGGAAAGAGAAAATTATGGTGAGATTATAATAGTTTGGGGTGTGTTGTGCTCGGAGGTGGGCAGAGTCTTAGTCCAGTTTTATCCAAGACACCATTACATTATCGTGGATGGCATAGTAATCTGTTAAGCGTCATAGCACTCATCTGACAAGTCCTGTGATTCATAGAGAAATCAGTTATTACTGAAATGACCCAAAGGATGTGATTTTAACTTTATGTCCTTTAACATCCAGAGTTTGCATGTGGATAGACTGCAGTGTGGGATTCACGCTGTCCTGTCAAAAGCCCAGTTTTGAAACTGTGCTTCCCACCCTTCTTTATCATTATTATGAACTCCTTCCCTTATGAATGAAAATACGGGGCAACAGATTATTGTGGATAATCTTTTTTTGCATAATATATTGCAATACAGTGCTCATCTGAAGCAGAAAGTCCTATTCCAGAGGTGCTGTATGATGAGGATTTAATTTCATTTGAGACCCGTGATAACCATATGGAGCAATGTGACAAAGTAGTGGCAGCCAGTTTGATGGTTCAATTCAGAAAATACGTTTCACAATAAGAAATTATTTATTTCAACCTGATTTGGGGGGGTTTGATAAGTATTATTTGTGCTACTGAAATAATGTGGTAATCCAAAGGATAAAATAACCACTTCTTCATAATCCAACATATGGCTGCTTGTTGGGTCTCAGGCCAAAGCTTCACCCTCAGATCATCCACAGGAACTCTACATGTGAGTTTTAAAGACAGTTTAGGAGAACATAGGTGGTAATTTCAGTCATCTGTCTTTAACTGAAAAAAACAGATATTAACTTAGACAAAAGTTAGTTGGAGCAACTACTAATTTTTAATGTACAAAAAGGAACTCGTCTCTACTTTAAAATGTAAACTTGTTACCTGAAAGCAGTGACACTTTAGGGGCAAAGATGGAATTGGGAAAGTTGGGAAGTCCAGAAACAGCTGATGGAAGTTTAAAAACTGAATTAATTTTAAGAGTGCTTTGCTATCCAGCAGTTAAACTGAATGCTAGCCACTTCTTAGCTATATAAATGAAAATAAATGCAAAAAGAAGTCTACCAGTTCTTCCACATGTCACTGTCACGGGTAACTGTTAGCACCTACATTAGTCACTCCTTCAACAGGCCATGAAATTGTTCCAGCTTTTAAAATGTGTGAGAGATTTAAGGCAGGTGCTGGCGTACCATAAATGAAAATCCAGCCTTCAGGCTGGTACAGTAGTGACATTGTTACTGTTTGCATTCTTGAAAACACATGGCTTGTCAAGTTGCAATAGAATTATTTTGTGCTTTTATATTATTAAAACCTAGTGAGGTCTTTGGACTGCCCATGAGAAGTGTAAGGCTTAAAGGTCTAAGAAAATACATTAATTATTGATACTTGGTGTGTAAGTATGTATTTTTTGTTGTTGTTACTGACTTTGTGCCACTCCATAGCTGTTGGATTACTTAAGGAAGAAACTTGCTACAGAAGGTGCTCACACGTCTGCTGTTGCTGAAAGCAAACACTGAACCATCTATGATCCAAAAAACCCCTAATGACTTATCTGAAAAACCTCTCAGAATAATAATACTCATAAAACCAGCATAAAAGTGATATTTTAATTTCACAGCAGAACAAACACTCGGCATTTTTGCATAAAAAGAAATAGCAGAATAGAGTCATCTTCAGTCCCTGGATATTTTTCCTGAGCTCTTATTTAAGCTGAAATCCAGTGAATTGCTGTGCAACTTCTTATCTCATGCAATCAGCACCCGTTCTCTAAAAGGAGTGCTTAATCTTCAGTTTCTTACAAAGTTCCTCTTGCAAATAAAACTGTGTCAAATCTTACTACCTTTGAGCAACTGCCTAGTTTCTGTCCTCCCTTTTTCCAAAACTGCAGGAAAAAAACTTTACGGGCTGCAAAATGAAAACATCACAAGTGCATGTGAGGTTCTGTCAAAAGTTCAGATGCAATTACCTAAGTCATTATCAATTTTAGGAAGCCTGCATATTATTCTTGCTAATGATAAGGTAATTTAATTATTCTAATTACTGATTTAATCACTGTATAAGAACTACCCTGTTTTTTGTATCACATTTAGCCCTATATGAAAATCTCCTAATACAGCATTAGGGAATTAGAATTATCCTGGTACTGAATGAAAAGAACATATTCTGTTGTGTAACCAGAAATGCATGTATTGCTTGAATATACTTGCTTTCCTAAGTGTAGAACTAAAATATTTTCTTCATTTATAATTTACCTTATTATGTAGGAAGGACAGCAGCCAATACAATAGGGTTATTAACGTATTCTTATTTCTTTCTCTCTTTCCTTTCATTTTACAAAAGTGGGTCATACATTTGTGCTTTCAAACTATACTTTGAGGTCTCTTTTGGTGTCACTTTTTTGGTTTTCTATCCAAGAGCGCTTTATATGCTAGTGCTACACAATTTTAATATATTCCAGTGACACTCTAGTGAGGTAGCAAGGTTGTGCTATTTTCAACTGTATAGGTAGGGAACAGAGGCACAGAAGAGTAAGAGCAGTTTTTCCATACCTAACTCTCCCTAGTCATTTAGGATCCCATTTACACATGTATCACCCCTCCAGTGACTTAGCCTGGATCCCATTAAAGTCTGTGGCAGGCAGTGTACTGAACTCAGGTCTTCCAAGTCCCTCGTTAGTACTCTGATTAATGGAACATATTTCCTTTCAGAAATAAACAAATATATTATGCTGGAGTATAGAGATTTGAATACCACTCCTTCATGTGGATTGGCAAGAAGCATGAACTTTATGATTTTTGTATCACTATTTTACAGTTTTTGCTGTTTCTCTTATTAAATAATTTAAAATGTCATCCTTCATCTTGAGTTTCATGGTCTCTGTACTGATTGCTTTTCACAGATACTACATTCTCAGGGGAAATCGGCACCAAGAAAAAAGTGAAAAGACTGTTAAGTTTCCAGAGGTATTTCCATGCATCCCGGTTACTGCGTGGAATTGTACCACAAACCTCTCTGTATTTACTGGATGAGGACTACCTTGGGCAAGCAAGGGTAAGATGGGTCTCTAGATCTCCATTTCTTTTAATAATATTCCAGAGTGTCAGTTTTGTTTCAGTGTTCAGATAAACAAATATATGGCTGATCTTTCTTAAATGACCTACCTTACTTGCCTGCCTCACAGCAAACAGACTGTCCGTTCCTCTTTTATGGTTACAGCTTTAAAGGCTTAGTCTCAAAGCAACAAGAAAATGTCTAAATCTATTCAGGATTTTCAGATTCTGTGAACTGAAATAATAATCTGGATTTATTAAAGGATGAAGAATCCCTGGCTGAGTTACTGATTTAAGTAAGTGCAGCCTCGACACAGGATTTAGTTCCTCTGCTTGAAAAAAGACAGCTGTCTCTCAGCTGGTGTGGGGCAGCTTTAGGCAACCCACAATAGCTCTCCATAATGGCAAAGGCTAGTAAACAGGAAACATTAACTGGAAAGAACTTCACAATTATCAAAATATAATTCTCTTATTTTGCAGCTCTTATACTTGCTTTGAATTATGTTTTCTAACAAAACTTGCACAACTAATGGCATTGGGGTTATGTGCCTAGGCAATTTTTATTCTTTGCAAGAGAAGATTACATGCCAGGTGTTAGAAAGTAATTAAGAATCCAGAACTGGCTTGAATATAGACTAAGCAATGGGAATGAATGCACATTTCATTCACACGTGTGCCACTGCAGGTCACAGAGTTAGTCCAGACTCAGTCTCTTGACTGAACTGATGTAGCTGTAGAAATACTGTATGTGGTGACAATGATGGATTCTTCTGCGTGGCTGAGTGGGCTTCACAGAAGCACTGTATCCAAGTTTATAAAAGCTATTCCTGTGTATTGGTTTGTTTAGCAAAATCTACTTCATATTCATCATGAGAGCTAAGATTGCATTTTACTGTAATGAAAGAGTAAGAGAATTTTTACTGAATTGATTTTGGGACATGAAAGAACAATTAAAAAGTTATGCAGTAAAAGGGAATATTTTTTTCATACTCTGTTTTATATTATTCCATCTTTTGAGCTCTATTTAGAAGGTATTTTTAGTCTCAAGTTCAAAACCTCCTCAATTAAAAATGCAAGTGATATTTTATGCAGTGTAGCTAAATTTGGTTCCTAATGTCTGGTATCTCAAATACATTTCTACAGCTTTCCTGAACAGAACTTCAAAGCTGCAGCAACCAAACCTGTGATTGATTAACATGGAATAATAATTTAAATCTGCTTTGCAGTTTGACATACAAGTCATTTACCTTTTCATATTTGTTTTTTTCTAGCATATGCTATCCAAAGTGGGAATGTGGGATTTTGACATTTTCTTGTTTGACCGCTTGACAAATGGTAAGTAATTTTTAAAAAGTTTTTGTTTTAATATCTCTCATATATGACTATTCTAAAAATCCCTAATTAATTAATTGTTAAATGTTTACAGTTTAGGTTACTGAAGAGAAACTGGATACAGTTAACTTAAAATCATATCTTTGAACTCCACATGATATGGAGGATTGATTCCCTGTCCTCTCTCCTTTAGGAATTTAGGAGTAGGGGGCAATGGTGATGAGTTCCCCAGCACAGCAGGCACATCTCCTCTGTGAATACCCCACCTTGCCCAGTGCTCTTGCGTAATAGATACAAGACTCTGCAAGTGGAACCAGCAATAATGAGGACAATGGTCCATTTAGCTTGGAGGTCTCGCTGAGGTTAAGTTGGCCTATGCCCTGTGTCAAAACTTCTTCCATAAAGACAAAAAGATGGGTCATTGTCACAGACGTCCTTCTGAAGGAAACAGAAGACCCAATATGCAGACCAGACCCACTTCTTAGGGAAGTCTGATGTCTCCCCAGGGCCCAGGTTAAAGATGTTGAAGAGAAAGCTTCCTACCCTGGTAAAACCCCCAGATTATTATCCATTATTGATTTTTCAGGTAGGCAGCAATGAGGTTGCAACAAGAAGTCTGAGGGCAATCAAGAGAGACTTCAGGGCCTTGGGATGACTGATCAAGAGATCAGGAACACAAGCAGTGTTCTCCTCTATCCCTCCAGTTGCAGGGAATGATGAGGGAAGAAGCAGGCAGAACCAGAAGATCAATACCTGCCTCCAAGCCTGGTGTCACCAGCAGAATTTTGGGGTTTTTGATCATGGGTTGGTCTACACAATACCAAGGCTCCTGGTGAAGGGTCTGGAGCACAAGTCTTATGAGGAGTCGGCTGAGGAAATTGTTTAGTCTGGAGAAAAGGAGGCTGAGGGGAGACCTTATCACTGTCTACAACTACCTTAAAGAAGGGTGTAGCAGGGTGGGTCTTGGTCTCTTCTCCCAGGTAACAAGTGATAGGACAAGACGAAACAGCCTCAAATTGTGCCAGGGAAAGTTTAGATTGGTTATTAGGAAAAATTTCTTCACTGAAAGGGTTGTCAAGCACTGGAACAGGCTGCCCAGGGAAGCTGTTGTGTCACTATCCCTGAAGATATTTAGAAGACATGTAGATGTGGTGCTCAGGGACATGGTTAGAGGATTGACGGACTTCAGTGCTAGGTTAATGGTTGGACTCGATGATCTTAAAGGTCTTTTCCAACATAAATGATTCTATGATTCTATAATTTTCAGGCTTTTCCCAGAACGTTTACAACTATAGGATAATGTTTAAAGTGTGTTTTTATATTAAGCTAATCTCCTACATTTGTTATGGTCACCTTTTCAAGGAGATGTTTCAGTTTCCTTTACCTGGGGAATTCCAAAGGTATTTCAATATGCCTGTTAGATACACTGGTCAATAAGTCCAGACCTCTATAATCTGTCTATTTCTATTAACATGAAATACCTTTAACAGAAGATGCCCTTGTTTCTGTTCAGCAGCAAAAAGATTCATTAAGACAGTAAAAATCTGTGAAATGTTTTGTCTAAATATATGCCTGTAACACCACACACACCAGTGTCTAGGCAATACTTCTTGATTAGGTAACTGCTGAAGAGGGTCATGATAACACCTTTCTCCTTTCTGTATTGCTCATAGGACTTAGGTCCCTCATTCCTCACATCCAATCCAGTTAGGTTGGGCTGGGGCAGAAGGTGTAGAAAAAAGTTGGTTTAGAGGGTAAATCTGCTGAACAACTGGCATTGAAGAGTGGAAAGGACTGCAAATAGCAAGGGAAGCAAAAACATAATTCTTCTAAGTTACTTTCTTGTGCCCCTGCTCAGTAGTTGGGGACAAATAATTTCTGTGTCCTCTTTGTACATGTATTTATTTTCTTCCCTAAGTTACATTAAATAGGACAAGACAAATATTGTTTATACATTGTATGAGTTGGTTGATTTTGGGGTCTTTTTCTAACTTTTCTGGAAACATTGCTGCTGAATAATGCAGTGCAAACTTTTTAAAATACTGCATGTATGTATAGTTGATCATATAATAGAAGTTAGACTCAATCTTGCCCATGTTCCCAGTACTGGATTCACAGTAAGGCCAGCATAACTTAGAGTGGCACTTCAGATCATAAATACTGCAACTCATTTTTTCCTGTCTGCATCATCATTGTGAGATGCAATTGTAGCTGAGCTAGGTACAAGGATTATACCTTTGTACAGACATGTAAAATAAAAAAAATAATTACAAACTGCTGTTTTCTCAGTAATTAATTAATTAATACAGTATGGCAAGCCGAAGTGGCAGAAAAGCCTTTCTCCTTTCTGTCATTTCTGGAGGTAGCTTGGGTTATGAAGATGATGTGATTCTCAAACAAGCGTGTCCAAAGATTTCCAGTTAAAACCATGTCAATTCACCTTCTGTGTCATGTTGAAACAGCAAACGTGACTTTATGGCATCTAGACACAAGAATGGCACTCCACTGGTACAGCCGTACCATCAAATCTTGATTGTACATTGGAGTAATTTGTATAAGCTACTTTTGAGTATGAGTGTGTCATATAAGTTGATATGATATGGAGTAAGGCAACAGGAGTTGACTAATAATTAGGAAATTACCAAAATTTTTATTCTTGCTTGGTTTATAACTACATGTTCAGGTAATCTAAGAGTTGTTCTTTCTGCTTTTAGGAAACAGTCTTGTAACACTGCTTTGTCACCTCTTCAATGTACATGGACTTATTCACCATTTCCAGTTAGATATGGTTACATTACACAGGTTTTTAGGTAAGTGCTCACCTCAAAGCCATCTTTAAATGCAGTTTACAGCTTAAGTAGGGCATCAAAGAAGGCACTGTCTTGGTCTGTGTATCTGTGTAAAATCATGATGTTGCAAATATTTCAGTAAAACATTTCTGTGATACATATTAGCATACAATTTACAGGCACTCAGGTACTTGGTTCTTTACCTATTAAGTTAATGGAGGGACTTAAAAAGGCTCTGCATTGGGCTGAAGCATCCAAGTATCACAACTGCACTGGTAAAATTGTGCCATGCAGAGATGTGGCCAGCCAAGTAGGCCCACACAGATAGACAGACATTTTAGAACCTACCCGTGCACAGTACCATTGTGGTGCAGTGTCATTATTTTAGTGACTAATAGACCACTGAGACCCAGGGCAGTTAAAAGCTTATGTGCAAAATTTAACAAATTATATCAAGCTGTCTGCACTGAATAGTGTTGATGAAAGCCCCTGCTGCTCTTACTGCCAACAGAAATATTAGCCCCATGCTGTCAGCGAACCAGAAGAAGAAATTGGCCAAAATCAATTACTCTTTGCATCATGTATTGAATGCGGCTGAATGCCGGTTTGTTGGGCTGTCAGACAGAGTTTCAAAGGCAGGGTCTCTTCTTTAAGGCATAATTGTCGCTTCTGGAAAGCGTTCCTCCAGTGTGGAGACAGACAAAATCTCCCTGCCGTTTCTGACTCCTGTGGGCGGCTGTGAAGTGGACGCTCAGATAATTAGAGCTAGCGGTATTCAGGGTTTAAAGGATTACCCACTGTAAATTCACATGCTTGTGGAGCTGGAAACAAACTGAAGGCTAGGACTTCCTTTGGCATTCCCCATGCTGGAGATGAGTGCCATGGGAAATTTGCCCATTACCTTTGTGTTTGATTAATTTGATAGTGTCTAGGAGAGCGCTTTAGGCAAGATCATGTGCAACCTCCCCTGTTCATGTGGTGTTGCCCTGAGACCACCTGATGGTGCCACAAGGAACAGATGAGTATGAAGCACACACCTGGATGATTTTCTGTACGAGTGAAAGCTGAGAGTTAAAGGGTTATTGCTCAGCCTTCCAGATGGACCAGTTCCAGCACTGCACATTAAAACAAGTGGGAGTGGTATTTTAAAATGGATGCACAGACGTGACTAAAATGATCACAGAATATTTTGCTCTGAATGCTCCAGTGCTTTATCTTTTGATTCTCTGTCTGGAGGATGTAGGAATGTCTTTGACCATTAGTAGTCACTCAAATAACAAATGATGCCAGGATATCAGGGCCTCACTCGCTGCTGCTGTAAAATAGGTGGTACTGCCTTAATGACATTACTGCCCTATGACAGCAGCATAAATAATTACACTCCGTTGTGGATAAATTTGCCTCTCTTCCTTATTTATTTTACTCCTGAATGAGAGCCTTCACTAAGGCAAGAAAGAGTTGATTTATGAACTAAACCTAGTATATCCCCTTGGGCCTCACAAATCCTTTCATGCATTTTTTCTCTAAAGGTATCCCAATAAGAGCAGCAGTCTAAGTAAGCTACAGATATTTGAAGAAACTCCTTAGGCAGCTGACTGTAAAACCTCAAATTGTATTTTAAATCCAGTTCTCTTGTGGCCATGGTATTCAGAGACAAAAGGATCTTTATTTTCTTTTTCGGTTCCCAGTTATGGTTCAAGAAGATTACCATAGCCAGAACCCGTACCACAATGCTGTCCATGCTGCTGATGTCACACAAGCTATGCACTGCTATCTGAGGGAGCCCAAGGTAATGACAACCTTTCACAATGATGTTGCTTTCAGATAATTCTCAATATTTTTTTTCTAGGATTGAAAAAAACCCACAAAATATTTTTAGATAGCAGACAGCAACAAGGCAGTAGCAGAGTCAGCTACAGGTTACAGACAGTTTAAACTGGAGTCACTTGTCATCACGTAGGTGACATATCAAAATGATGTCATATGAGTTCTGGTGAGTTTTGCCATGACCATGTGTATCAGTCATCTGTGAGTGGCTCCAGTCCTCCCAGCAAAGCCAGTAGAAGGCAGCACATGCCCATGCCTCCATCCTTTCAGGGCATAAGCCCCTCACATCAATATTTGAAAATACCAAATTGGCAGTGCAACACCAGAAAGGAGGAAGAGGTTCCTTTTGACTGAGTCTGTTGCGAGGGCATCCTCCGCAGGAGTGAACAGCAGCTTTAGAGTGCTGCAGCGAGCCCTCACAACATGAGGGTGTGACATTGCTTTATGTGTTATAGCATGACTGTAATACTGTAGTGCTGAGCCACAGTGTAAGAATATAACTAATCTTTCCTGGCTTGACTTAAATGAAAGGAAGTTCTGCTAGAATTAGCAAATTGTTAGACCAGAATATAGTAATGGTAGGTGAGGACAGGAGCGGGCCCCAGCTTTCCTGTATTTCCAGCTGCTGCGAGGTCTGCAAGTCCCTGCTGTCAGAAAGTGCAGAGGACAGCCAGTATCCAGAATCTGTACCATACTGCTCTTCATTTCTCATCACAGGATGCTTCTTTCAGTTCATAGAACTGTACTCTGTACAGACTCATTGGGCTGGTAATAACTGCCTCAGAACGTTCAGAAAAGGAAAATGCTAAGACTTCAATTTTTTTCTCCCAATGATAACAAAATTTGCTTCTGAATGATAAGCTATATAGTAGAAAAAAATCTAGGCAGGTCTGAAGTTAGAAAGGTAAATTATGTTCTCTAATAAAATACCTATTTTTGAACTGAGCTATTTACAGCCAGGTTTGAAATTTCAAACATTTATAAACTCTGCCTTTTACAGCAGAGTGCTGTGCTAGAAAAATGAAGCCTGATGTACTGTTGGTATTACTAAATACTGTGTGAGGCAGAGCCCTTATATATGCTAACACATGCCAGCCTGCTAGTATACTTAATTTACTTTTTTAAAACTGAATCTTTTAGATTAAGCTCAAGCACTTCTGTAACAAGAATCCTTATATTGCCATAAATGATAAAGAAATAAGAATTAAAAACTGTAATAAAATATAAGCATATAGTCTGATATCTTTATATATGTTTGTTCAAGTCACCTTAAAAACGTTGTTCACAAAAATTATTTTATATTTGACATTTGTGTACTGTCCTACAAACTGAGCAATGCCATGATGTTAACCAATTCCTTAATTTGCAAAAAGGAAAAAAAAAAAGTGTTTACTGTTCATGTTCTGGTTGTGATTAATGTGTGTGATTCAGCTTGCCAACTTCCTCACCCCATCGGACATCATGCTTGGACTGCTAGCTGCTGCAGCTCATGACGTGGATCATCCAGGCGTCAACCAGCCCTTTCTGATCAAAACTAAACACCACCTTGCCAGCCTATACCAGGTAAAACCGCTCATCAAGTTGATAGTATGTAAAATGGTGTGAAGGAAAGTGTAAGCAATTTGCAGTGAACTTTCAAAATCTGGTAGTTGGGGGGATGCTGATCAAATCAAACCTGCAATTTAGAATCTGGACAATTTCAGTTAAGCTCCTCATTGGGTGTCTCTTCTTACAGCAAAGCTGATACACATGAGAAAGAAGGTGGAAATGTCAGATTTTGTTGAGGACATTTAAGTCAAATCAGTTCCTGGGGTTATTTCTGCTATAGATAATCTGGGGTAAGGAACTGTGGGTATGAATCACAGAGAGACAATTCGTACTTCATCTTCCTTCAGCAAGCAAGCAAGCAGCAGGCATGTTCTAAATCAGCATTGCACTAAGAAACTTCTGCGTCATGTGGCTCTACTGAAATTAAACGCTTAATGAATACTGCAATTTAAAAATAAAATAGAAGATAGAGGAAAAAAAGGGGAAAGTTGTAGATACTTATCCAAACATGCCTAGAAGTGTAAAGAAAGAAAAACAACCACCGTAGGTCACACCACAGACTATCTAGACCAGTATCCTGTTTCTCAGGGCATCCAGAAAAATATCTGAGAGAGAAACGTAAGTCTGGGATAAGGAAAGAGTAGTCCTTAACCTGGTATACATCTTCCCAGCTCTGGCAAGCAGTAGTAGAAGACTTCCTGAAACAAAAACACAGATGGTTTTGTTCAATAACTATTAATAAACCTATCCTACCCTGATTTTTGTGGTCCTTTTTGAATATATTTGTAGTTTGGGCCCATGGCAATCACTGTAGCTTTCAATTTATCTACAACTGTCTTATGTATATAATCTTGGATGCATGTATACATGATTATATATGCACAGCTCTACATTATACTTCACATACACTCGCCGGAGCAACGCTGTAAATCATTTTGGTTGCACTAATTCATAACTAATAAATGGAGATGGTATTGTTTTGTAGCCTTTGGAAGAGTCAACTTCAGATTTTGTAATAAGGTATCAGAAACAGAATATCCCAAGTTAAAAATTAATCTAACTGAAGAAGAGTCACCAATATGTATGTACCTTTCTGTACATACTTAGCAAATCGAGAGTTGTCGTACTCATACATGTGTGGTGCATTTTGCTCCAGTATTTTCTAAATGTCAGGCCAGCTGAGTGGGGAGGGAGAAAAGCCAGGGGACTTTGGGAAGATTATGTTAAGGATCTTTTGAAGAGAAGTGGGTAGAGTCATTCCACAAAAATGCTGGTCCTATGAAAAGGTATAAACAACTCCTCCTCAAATTAATTGTGGGAAACAGTAATATATAATTAGGTTGAAAATTCAGCCTAATCTGAAAGAAATGTGGCTAAAGTAAAATATTACTTTCTTGGAGAGATGGCTTCTGCTCAGCTAACTGGGCTTGATTGAATATACTTTCAAATGTTGGTTAGAAAAGGCAGTGACAATATGGCAAATGCAATCTTTCAACAGCAAATGTGAATTTTAAGTATCTTGTTTAGGGATATTCACTGGCAAGTTTCACTTGTATTATTTTATCTGAAATTGATCCCAGATTGTTTCCAAAGATTTTATTAGTAGTGTGTATTACATGAATGCCAACAAAAATAATTCTGGAAAATAGTTTTGATGAAAACATTTTTAGTCAAAAATTTAGATTCAGTGAGTAGTCTTTAAAACAATAAATTATATTCTTCTCAAGATTAGTACTTTAACATGTGCTTGAAACTGAAACAAAACCATTCTCGGGTTTTTGGTTTTTAAATAGCAGAGCCACAGAACTGCTGGGACTAATCAGAAAAATAATCAAACAAAAGTAAGTAGGTTTTAACAGAGTTGGTAGTCATTTGTCACTGAGACAGTAGTAGCTGAGACTTAGGGTTATCTGTTTATGGCATATCTTTGCTCTTGATTGTTTGTAAATTTAAATTAGAGCTTTATATTTGAATCATCTGGGAAAAAAGGTTTTGCAAAATTAGTTCGGTCAGTATTTGACAAAGATGCAAAGTGTTTTACCGCTTCTGAAGGGCATATATGAGCAGAATTATGTTTCAGGAAGATAAGTGTCATCACCAAGGAGTTCAGAACTTTCAGTATTCTTTTTCAAATTAAATCCATATGTTATGATGCAAGACCGTTTTTTGTAATCTATAGGGTAATTTCCATAAGTCTATTGCATGTGAGGAATCATAATTTTCCACAAAAATAAAAGTGCCTCGTTCAAGTCTCTAGCATTACAATGACAGTTGAGAGTGTAAAAGGTGACAGTAGGGGCCTGAAGGTCATGTAGCCTCCTGTGAGGAGCACAACAGCATTCCTCATATGTGATGCTGATTTCACTTATAATTCTCATTGGCCATTAAAGTGAAAAATAAAAGTTTTATTCTTGCTTGATAATCATTGTCGTTGGTCTCTGTAGCCTTAAGTCACAAATTATTCAAATTCTAATTGATAGATTTGGCTCACCCAACATTATTTCTGCTTCTTTTGACTGAAAGCAGCATACAATTCAAGGCTGCTCAGTCTGATACAATCCCTCCTTGTATTTTTCAAAAACTCCATGTCAAACTTAACACCAGGAAAACTCACACTGCATTTAAAAAAAAACAACAAACTGTAGTTTACTGAAAATTATTCATTAATTTCCTAAGAAAATAAATAGCTTTGATATAAATAAAATGTTATTTTATTACTTCAGTAATAGCGAGTTGAGACCTATCTTTGTCTGGCTCTTAAATGAAGGGTAATAGTTTAGAAGTCTTCAATGATCACATACAACATCTGTAGTACAAAACAGGTTTCAGAAATCTATAAAAGAACACTTTATAGCTTTAATATAGATGCATTTAAACTCGAAATAGGAAAATATGTTTTGGGCATCAGTTATGACAGTGCTACTCTGTGGTCTTCCTTAAAAGCACCATTTCTAATTTAAAGTATCATTTTCAACTATTTAACATTTTGTAGTTAAAACTAATTGCTGAATGACTAAGAATGGATGGATAGATTGAAAGAAATTTAGATTGCCTTCTACTCTGAATGAGTTTTCTCTGCCCCTAGTTAATAGCAAGTTATTGTTCCTTTCCAAATGTACATGTCAAGTGTGGTGGTTTGAGTAGCTCAGGGAAAGTAACAGATTGGCGATTTTGTGATAATACAAGTGAAAAAACATTTTTTTTCCTCACAGTCCTGAAGTCTGTGTTACAGCAATCCACTAGTTTTAGGCAGTAGATGTGACAGAGGCTTCCTAGCATGCAGCCTTTAAAACAAACCTGTGCTACTCAGTTTTTTAAAAAATAGACAGTTAGGGGAAGCAAGCTCTCTGGAGATCGGAGCTGAGAACCTCAGTCTACAAGGCAGCACACAGACTTTTCCCTGTGTGGGTTATCTTCTTACTAGCCGTAGCAATCCGATAGCTCATGGCAGTTAGTCTTAATAAAGCAGCAGAGTGTTCCTAGGTGGAATAGCTGACTTTACTAATTGTTGGCAGCAGCTTCAGGGGTTCTGCCTGCTTGCATTTAACAGGGGAATCATATGATTTGATGCTCAGTTGTCACTTGCAAAACTTGGCCTTTCCTTTTCCCTCTTCTATGTGCTTTGAGTGTGGGAAGCTAGATAGTGCAGCAGCTTTGGTGTAAACTCTCCCTACAGTAGCAGACAAAGAGCAGAAACTTACAGAAGTGGAAATGCTCTGGGATGGATACCTGAGTTTGCTTTTTCCTTTGCATAACTGTTAGTTGGATGCAAGAGAGTTCTTGGAGACCTACACACTCAGTTCTGTTCTGGCTGGCCTTCAGCATGGCCAAAGACCAACTGCATCCATGGACTGTAATTCTCCAGTTGAGGTAGGTTCTGCTGAAGCAGCTCCTCCCAGCAAGTAACACCGCTGTGCTGGAAGGTTGTGGGGGCACAGGGTGCTCCGAGGGGGATCTCCCCAGTTGGGATGTTTCAAAGGTGCAGACAGACCAGGGCCACAGGAACTGTGCACACAGGCACTGTCCGGAACAAGTGTAAGCCTTCCCAAAAAGTGAAATGTGAAAGTCAGGCAGGGTTTGTCTAATTTCCCCTACGGTAGGAAGATGGCAGCCTGTGGATTTGGGGTAACTGTTGGGACCAGGATTCAGCTCTGAGATTAGGGAGGCGAAAGAAGCAATAAAAATTTGTTGTTATGTCCTATTACATTCCGGTTATTTTTGGTCACAGTCCCTGGACTTCAGGAGGGCCAACTTTGGCC